ACTGCAGCCTCGAAACAGGAGAGAAGGGGGTGGGGGTGGTCAACCTGCGGGGACATGAGCGTTGGAGACAGGGGTCTGGTGCTTTGGCTCCCGTTCTCACTTCTATAAATTTTGAAAACTTTCTAAACAAAAAATTAAAAAATCGTCTCCAGAAAATAAAGTTTCACTGAAGAAACAGAACCGAACCCTTTACGGGAAGGCGCAGGCATAGGTCTGAGCAGCACGTCTCACAATCTCCAGGATGAGGGCGGTGGGTGCCCCACCACCTGCAGCCTGTCTGCACTCGGAAGCAGTCACCCTGCGGGCTGCAGGGCTGGCTCAAACCACGTCTGACCTGCTGCTCAGACACTAGTGTGGGTGCCCTGAAGAATAAAAGGACAGAGAGAGAAACATCGATCGCTGCCTCCCAAATGTACCCTGACCAGGGCTAAACCCACAGCCCAGGCTGGACATAATGTCTAAACAAGGGCCCTCCCAGGAGTTCAAAGACGTGATGACCTCCCCGGCTCAGGTCCCAGGAAGGAAAGGGGACCACTTGGCAGACAGGTGGAGCTGACGGAGAAGCAGGCCAAACCAGCCTTGCCTGCTCGCCCCGGCACGCTGAGTGCTGGGTCACAGGAAGGGAGCATCAGCTGGTCCTCTTGGCTCAGGCATGGACTAAGGGGCACAGCTGGTCTCTGCACCTCACTCCGCGGCTTTGGGCCCAGCAGAGGAGCTGACGGCGGCTGCCTCCAGCCCGGGTGAGGGCAGCTGTGCGACTGAGGCCATTTGCAGATGGAGGGTCTGGAGCCCCTGTGCCTGGGCCTGGACAGCTATCCCATGGGGACTGCCAAGTGGACAGCCGCCAGGACTCTCGAATACCAGTCCGGTGCTTCTGTGGGAGTTTCCGCAGGACGCCCTTCGGGGTCAGTGCCACCCCCCCTAAGCCACTTGCTGGAAGTGTGCTGGCCTGCGGGCCCGCGCGGCAGGGGAGAGGCACACGATGCTGGGCAGCCGGCGAAACCTGGAGAGGGTCCCGGGCTCTCACAGACCTCCCAGAGCTCACCCGGGAGGCGGGCGGAGGGCCGGCATGGGCCCCCTCTGTCACTAGGTCCTACTAGAGATCTAGCAGGAAAAGGTATCAGACCTGGATCCTGCATCCGGAGACCTCGTGACCGAGACTGTCGAGGAAACAGCTGACTTCAGGCCTCACGCAGGACCTGTCACTAGCTCTGCGGACTCTGAGTGCGCTTCCTGACAGCTGGCTGAAATCAGACTCCTCCTGCAGTCCTGCTGTGGTCCCGGTGAAGGGGATCCGCAGGGACACTTGGTTTGGCTCTGAGGACAGCGGCGCTCAGGTAACGGGCCTGAGACTGAGCGAGAGTAGTGCCATCAGCGCCCCCTTTGTATGTGCTGACCCAGGGCCTCCTTGGTGCCCTACTGAAACAGCAAGCTCACTCACCCGCTGCAGGACCCCCAGTGGCCCAGCCCACAGCATCCTCATTACCAACACTGCCCCCGAGATGCATCTACCTAGACATCCCTGCACTCAACCTTGCTGCCAGGTCCAAGGAGGTGATCAATCGACCTTTCTCCAAGCAGAGCCCACAACTCTATGTCTTTGCACCTTTTAAAGAGTCTCAGGCAAAGAAAGCCCGAGGCCCTGAGGAAGAAGAGACTGGGAATCCTGAGCTCCTGGCACTTCCAGCGTCTGCTTCTCAAATTCAGCCCCTACAGAAGCTAACTGCATGGACCCAGCCATGCTGGAGCGTCTCCTGAGCTTAGACCATCTGCTGGGCTCCTGGGGGACCCAGGGAACCCCTCTGCGGAACACCCCTAATCGAGAGCAAATGGTGCTCGTGAAGACAGTGCGGGAGGAGGGTTTGGAGCCTGAAAGGCTTACGATAAAGCAGACAGAAGCCGAGGTGCGGGCCCAGGAAACGACCCAGAGCAGCAGGCTTGCTCTCCCACAATGCTCGACCCCTCGCCCGCCGCACAGCCAGAGTGCCTGAGCCCCTCCACAAGGCGGTGGCGAGCCCCCTACCATGGATTCAGGAGCAGGCAGCATCCCCAAAGGCGGGCCTCCCTATCCTGAAGCAGAAAAGCTCCCAGGGAAGGGAGAGGCTGGATACCAAGGCGAAGGGGAGGCTGAGGGCTGTGAGGGCTGCAGACCAGCCCCGAGCTGCCGGCCCAGGGGCCAGAACATGCTGACACCTGAATCCACACGGCCGGCAGCGCACCGGCCAGAAGGAGGCCGGCCGTCATGGCTGGAGGGCGTTCCGCGGCCTGTCAGCCAGGTGGAGCACTCAGGGTGTGTGAGGTCCTGGCAGGGAAACAGCGAGTCTTTCCTGAAGGTGAACATCTGGGGTCTCGCTGCAGCCCGCCTGCCGGCCAGCTCCTCTCCTCACTGGGCCTTTTCCTTTTCAGTTCTTGTGTGACAGCTTCTTGTATAACAGTTTAAACTCCATTAAAAAAAGAAAAGAGAAAAGGACCACTTGCTAGTGGAAAGCGTTGTTGGGCAGCAGGGATGAAGGGCTCAGCAGCTCGCCCGGGACGCCGGGACCAGAAAAAGCAGTCGAGATGGGATGTCACCGTCCTCACCGTGCAAATCCAGGGTTTTCTTTCCGAGTCACACCAAGGTGGTAACGTCCCGAACACCTGTGCTGACGAGGGCTCCTGAAAACACGGCCTGTCCCGTTGAAGTGTCTCTTCCCAGGTCGGCAGCCACCCTGGACTTGGCCCAGTGCCCTGAGGGGCAGACGGTGGGTCTGGAGCCTGAGGGATGAGCAGCAGCTACAGGCCTAGACCCCAGTCAGAGACCTGGGCGAGGGCGACACGCAGGTGTAGGTTTAAGGCAGCTATAAAATGGGAAGTTTCTCAATACCTTTAGCCAAACCCCTGATGAGAAGAGAAAGACTGACCCTCGCAAGAGGCCCAGGGCAGCTCCGAGGCTCCAGCCTATGGATTCTCACAGCAACGCACACAGACAGTCACAGCCTCACATCGGAGCAGACAGACTTTCAGCTTAAAGTCACCACAGGACTTGGGAGAAAAATGAACCTTTAAACATGGACTGGCTCTCCTGGGTAAGAGCAGGAAGAATAAACAACAAAAACCCAAATCCAAAACCTGATCCGTGACCTGACAAATCGAACAGTGTGAGTCCGGGACTGGATCGCAGGCACCCCTGGCTGCACTGTCCACAGTGTCCAGTGTGGGCTGTGAGCACCACCCACCTTCTGCATGGCGAAGACGGGGCACTGAGGGGGCACCCAGCCACCTCCACCAGCCTGTTCACACAGCTTTCCCAGGCCTGGGGACAGCCCGTGCCCCCGACGGGGCTGAGAGGGGGCTGACAGTGTCACACGGGCTGGTCAACAAGAAACAACTTCCCTAAGGCAAGCGGGCTCCTGGGAGCGTGTTCTTGGCCAACAATCCCCACCGTCGGTCCAGAGGAACAGTTCCTGGTGTCTGCACTGTGGCTGTCACATTGACTTGTATTTTTTTCTGTAACCAAATATCTATTGTCCCCCAATAAAGGAAGCAGAAGGAAGCAGTTCCATTGCATTTTAAACCAACACCTCTCCAAGCCCACCATCTAAACACAGGACCCTTTCTGGGTCTCAAGTCATTAATGGGACAATTCCTGTGGCACCTGAGACCCCTGGGCCTTTCCAGGACTGGCTCACTCGGGACTCGGTCCGGTGGCTGGACAAACCAGGCAAAGCCTCCGTCCCAATGACTCTTGGCAGCAGGCCTCGCCGGAGAAGCAGCCTCAGTAGGCAGACCGCCCCGTTCTGCTAGAGACCAACACGAGCCAGACTGCGTGACACTGTAAGTGCAGCACGAGCTTCTGCTGAGTCAAAGAAGAGCCAGAGAGACAAAGCCGCAGCACTAATTACCAGCTCCCAGGGGACGAGCTCCAAACACTCATCTGTTGTCAACTTGATGCATAGTTTTAATCATTCCAAATGGAAGTTTTAATTCTGTGACATTCAAAAAAGAAGAATCGATCAGAAAATCAGGAGAAGAAGGAATCCCTAGCCATGGACATAAGCCAACAATCTGAGCTCCTTGCACGAGCGGGTGGGTTCAGCCTGGACAGGCTGGGAGTGGTCAACACGGGCTCGTATCTACCTGCTCTCCCGGACTCACGTTCTTTACGTTATTCTGCAAATCGAAAATGACTCTCTCTCCACTGGTCTGTGCGAAGGGGTTGCTGAAAAACAGGCTCACGTCAAGGGGGGCCTCGGCCTCAGAGCCCCAGGAGTCCGTGTCTGTGCTGCTGGAGTCCTCGGCCGTCGTGGGCGGGTAGCTGAGCTGCTCTAGCTGGTCGAGGATGTCGGAGAACTGAAAGGCCGAGCTGGCTTCAGAGCGCACTGAGCAGGCGGGGAAGTTGGCCATGGAGCTGGCCTCAGACTGGTTGGCGGAGCTGGGTGTGCGCACAGACAGGCCGAGCAGCGGGAGGTGGCTGAGGGAGCTGCTCTGGGAGGGGCTCAGCAGGCTCTGCATCAGGCTGGCCTGGGCCTTCACCTCCAACAGCTCAGACGTGTCTGAGGGGTGCGCACCACCAAAGCCACTCTGTCCCTCAAACCCAAAGCCATGCTCGCTGCCTACTGGCCCTGCCTCAGCGGAGAACCTGTCTGGGCTGGACTGGGCAGAGCCTGGGCGACCGCACAAAGGGGCCTGCAGGGCCAAACTGCCGTATGGGCAAGAAAATGCCTCAGAGCCTCCAGCAAAGAAAGAGATGTCTGCCGGGTCGTCATCTATGAACTCCTCGGACACCTGCAGCTGGGTGTTTGTCAATGTGAAAACAGGGCCCCGCCCCGTGCCCTGCTGGCCACACGCGGGCTCCCCCGTGGAGGGGAACGAGCCCATGGTCACATCTCCCTCGTGGTCATTTTTACCAGCAGCTCTGCGCTCCCTGCTGGCCCCCCCTGCACCCAGGTCTAAGGCACCGGGACTCTGCCCCCCAGGACCGCTGGGGCTGCAACTCCTCAGAACATGACAAAACCCAACACCTTGACGCGGCTGGAGCGCAGGGGGCCCGGTGGGCTGGGCCTGCCTCGCGTCGGGGCCGGGGCCTTCCGCAGCTCCGCTGCTCCTCTGCGCAGCCGGCCTCTGGGCGTGGGGAGCCTGGGGCTCCAGCAGGGAGGCGCTGCTGTCCTTGACTTCCGGCCGGCAGGGAGGGGCTGCTGGGGAGGCAGGAACTGAATAGAAGGAGGCATGTGTTGACGATGGGAAACCAGAACTCCTCATGCCCTCAGTGAAGGAGAAGCTCTGGGGATCACAAATAAGAAAAGAAGAAACACCATTTTACAAACCACCCTTAGAAAGTTGCAGAGATAAATGGGCCCAAATGAGTAGGTCCACACATTTCTGTGATAGCTTCCGCAAAGGAGGGCAAGGGTCAGACACTCTTCTACCAGAGACTTGTCACACAGATGACTCCAAAAGGACCAGGATTCGGTTTACGACCCTTACCCTCCCATGTCTTTCTCTATGGAAGTAAACATCCACAATATGGAGAACTCCCATCCCTGAAAATGAAGGTTGCCATGAGGAACTGGAAAAAGGGGTCTTGGGCCTGGCTGGTGTGGCTGGGCATCGACCCTGCACCAAGAGGTCGCCGGTTCGATTCCTGGTCAGGGCTCACGCCCAGGTTGTGGGCCCAATTCCCAGTAGGGGGGCGTGCAGGAGGCGGCCAATCGATGTTCTCTCTCATCGATGTTTCTCTCTCTCTCCCTCTCCCTTCCACTCTCTCTAAAAATCAATAAAGGAAAAAAAGATATACAAATGCTTTAAAAGGAAAAGGAGTCTTGGAGCCATGGCTCAGAGACGATGGGCGGATGGTGCCCTGAGGCCTGCTCCCCAGCCCTGGTCTCCGTGCATCTACTTGTCTCTTCCCATCAAAACGAGAGTCATGTGACCTGGGCTGCTTGGCGACCAGCTAGTTCATTCAGCAACCTCTCTGACTGTCCCTGGTCACACTCTTCTCTAGAACAAGACTGAACGGCTCTTGAGCAGTCCGTCCGACGGACGTGCAGAACCGGCGAGCGCGTGAGGCCCTGGGCACCAGTGACACTGACACCCGCCCCCACGCACAAGCCTTCTCTTCACTCCGGTCCTTTCTGCAGACCAATCCCAGGGCTGGGATTGCTGTGTGAATGATGCAACTAGTTTTAACCTTTTGTTTTTAATCCTCACCTGAGGATACTTTTTTCCATTTATCTTCAGATAGAGTGGGGGGGAGAGAGAAAGAGAGACAATGAGGTGAGAGGAACACATCGATTGGTTGCCTCCTGCACGACCCTGACTGGGGCGGGGGACCGAACTGCAACTGAGGTACATGCCCTTGACTGGAACCGAACTCGTGACTCTCTGGTCCGTGGGCCAACACTCTATCGCTAAGCTACACCGGCTAGGGGGACACACTAATTGTAAGACTCTTGTTACAACATTGCCAGATTATTTCCCAAAAGAGTGCATGCAGCTGATACAGTGTCCATTTGAACCAGGACTCACCTGCTTTGGCAAGTCTGCAGTCAGAGTACGGCCAGACAACTGCGTCCTGCTGTGTCTTCTGCAAACAGAGAACAAGCTGTGAGCGCCCCCCTCTGGAGTCCTGCTGGACAGCGGCACGTGCTGTGCCCCAAGGAAGTGCTCACACAGGAATGTGGCCAAGACTTAACATGCCAGAGGCACCTGACTACAAGTGGGCAGGAGGACAGAAAACAAGAACAGGAAATAAAACACAGATGTTCCAAGACAGGTAAAATGATCCCACACTGAAGGAAAAACCCCACATGTAAAAAAGCAAGGTGAATGTTTAGATTCAAAGTTCACAAACCACATAGAAATGTATGTAAGCTAAGCTGTGCAGACTAGAAACTAAAAGGAATGTCCGTATCTATATACGATAACTGAGCAAAGATATTACAAATTCTTTATCTCAAAAAAATAAACAATTCAAGTGTCAAAATATATGTTTATGTATTTGAAATGATTTTTACTCAAAGGAAGGTTAGCCCTGGCCGCTTTGGCTCAGCGGTTAGAGCGTCAGCCTGCGGTCCCGAGAGACCCGGGTTCAGTTCCCGATAAGGGCATGTAGCTTGGTTACAGTTTGTCCCTAGCCCTGGTTGGGTCGTGCGGGTGGCAGCCACTCGATGTGTCCCTTTCACGTCGATGTTTCTCTCTCTCTCTCTCTCTCCCTCCTGCTCTATCTGAACAAAAAATGGAAAAATGTCCTCAGGTGAGGATACAAAAAAAAAAACAAAGGAAGGTTAAAGAACTTAAAATGTTAATTTTAAAAGCATGCACCTGACCTCCTGAAGCCTGGAGAGCTTACCTTTCATAGGGCGTTCTCTTCATCACACCATCTCTGACATAATCTGCTAGCTGTTTCTGAGTCCTTCCACTGTGAACAAAGGTTCACAGAGTAAAGAAATGGCAGTAATTCGCAGCGTCAATTTTCCACAAAGCAAAGGACAGTGAGACTTGCCCGCCCGTCTCATAAATCTACACATGTTTAAAGCTATGCTCTGTGGTAAGCGTCACCGATTTTCTAAACGAAGCTTTTATTAAATCTGCTTTTCCCACTACCTCCAGTTTAACAGCAGCTGCCTCCTGTGTGTGACTCCCTGACAGGTCCTACGACACTTTTCTGCACCAGGATGTGCCTGCTCTCAGCTCCACAGAGCAGCCGAGTGGATGTGCAGCCCACCTGTATCGGAAGGAGGAGCCCCGGCTGAAGAGGGCGGCCTTGGCCTTCGGCTTCGGTTGGTCGAAGAGTCTGAAGAAGGTGTGATGCTCCACACAGATCTTCCAGAAGTTCTTGCATTCGTCTCTACTACCCAACAAGAACTCCAGTGTGTCCTGGTATGGTCCCTAGAAATAAATACAAAGGTTCAAGTAACTAATTCAAGCATAAAATTTAGGGAGCAGTTCAGATAACAGGCTATTCTGAAGTTAAAAATCAGGAAGATTTTTATTTACTGAAAGTTGTAGATGAAGATGCCTGGCTCCATTTACATTGAAGAGAAGAAAAACGCAGTGTACACATGTATATTCATATACACACAATCACTGTTTAAGAAAACGCAGCTGTCGCATCGCACCACCGCAGACATCCCCGTGGGTCCCCGTCTCCTTTCCCGCAGAGACGAGGCCGCCATCCATGCTGGTCAACATGCTTGTCTGTTATCACTGAACTGTTGTCCTGTGGGGCTTTTGGGGAACGCTTTGGATTTGGATGTCCAGGCTCATGATCACCCCGAGAAAACTACTGCCTTCTCTCAGGGCTGCTCCTGGGAAGGCTGAACTGAACTCACAGACAACGTGTTCCAACCTGGTGATGAGTGTTACCAACTACCTTCAGAAAGACTGACACTCCGACTCCTAGAATGAGAATGACTCTCAGGAATCTAAGTGCTGGGAGACAGAAAGTGCAGCTCTGTCACGAGCAGCACACATGTACGTGGTCCCAGACGTCACGCATCCTGCTCCTCCAATGGATAGCTGTGCTGCTGTCTTGAGCTGGGATTCTTTTCCTTGCCTATCTTTTCAGAGTAACTGCTGGAAACTTTTTTTTTTTCATTTACAGAGAAAACAAGCAGCCTTTTGCTTGCATTTGGTCTGTTTTGGGTGTTCCTTACTCCCTTTCAAACCGGGAAGAGATCTGAATAGCAGATGATGAGGCACTTCTCACAGACAGCCTGCGGCCTGACCTTGGCCAAAGCCCTTGTTGACAAGGTGCCCCGAGAAGGCTCAGGGCCACCTCCCAGGGCCAGGCCCTCACCCCACAGCACTGCAACCCTCCCCTCCCCCAGGCCAGGCCCTCACCCCACAGCACTGCAACCCTCCCCTCCCCCAGGCCAGGCCCTCACCCCACAGCACTGCAACCCTCCCCTCCCCCAGGCCAGGCCCTCACCCCACAGTACTGCAACCCTCCCCTCCCCCAGGCCAGGCCCTCACCCCACAGCACTGGACCCCTCCCCTCCCCTGGGCCAGACCCTCACCCCACAGCACTGCAACCCTCCCCTCCCCCGGGCCAGACCCTCACCCCACAGCACTGCAACCCTCCCCTCCCTGGGCCAGGCCCTCACCCCACAGCACTGGACCCCTCCCCTCCCCCAGGCCAGGCCCTCACCCCACAGCACTGCAACCCTCCCCTCCCCCAGGCCCTCACCCCACAGCACTGCAACCCTCCCCTCCCCCCCCAGGCCCTCACCCCACAGCACTGTGACCCTCCCCTCCCCCAGGCCCTCACCCCACAGCACTGTGACCCTCCCTGCCTCCAGGCTTCCACCCAGCAGGTGGCTCAGCTAATCTACTTCTCATCTCCTAATTTCTTTGCATGTTGTAATTGTAACAATTTGAACATATGTGAATAGTCTGAAGTATTGAATTTTTGCCGCCTATCCTATTGTATGGACACTTTCCCCATTTTCACTTATTTCAGTAAATTCATATGCAATTATTACTTTACTGGCCGACAGTCTCAAAAGAAAGAAATATTTATCTTCTGAAAATCAAGCTCCTTCAGTTAGAGCTATTACAGGGTCAATTTCTGAGTCACAGACACTGGATAATGTGGGGAATGCCCCTCAGCTCCCTGTGGACCAGCTCTACCAGGGGTGGGGAACGTCTGACCCGCAAAATCAATACCAGCTGACATCACACTCACCAAACTGGCCTGACCAAACAGAGCAGGTTAATTTTTAAGTTGGTCATTTTGTATGGCCTGTGAATATTATAAATATCCAAATGGCCCTGCCGAGGACTTGCTGCAGGCTCAGACCACAGCTCACACGTTGCTCTCAGCTCCTTACCTAGAGCACAAAGAGGCTGTAACAATCAGCAGCCTCAGCAGCCTCAGCAGCCCAGGGGGCTGGTCAGACAGGCACATTCCCAGGGCCACCTAGCCCTGCCGAACCCGGACCCCGCCCTCCCACGTTGTACCCTCGCTGGAGAACTGCTGGGTAGACTAGGGGGGCCCTACCAGACCCCAGCCTGAGCACTGTCCTTGCACTCCTGCATGCATTATGCGGCAACGCTTTATGAAACAACGAATGACTCGCTATTCTAGCAGAATACATCCACTGACAGTTTAACAACCACTCAGAGTACTTACATGGACCTCTGGGTAGAGTTTGATAAGGAATCTTTTCCTCTTGAAGCTGAGCTTCCGGACCCGGGACCAGTTGAAGGTGTTGATTTTGGTGGTGCACTGAAAGCCAAGAGATGGACACTCAGCACAGCAGGGATCAGACACGGGCACCCTTTCCCAGGGACTGGGGAGTGTCCGCGTCACGTCCCAGCCGGACAGCACCACACACAGCTCCGCAGTCATATCTGGAGTGACTATGAACTAAAACGTCAATGTGTCTGCTTTAGAAACATAACTTGATTTCTTGATAAGGCTTTTTTACGAGTTATTTATTTTTTACAAATCCTCACCTGAGGATATTTTTCCCTTTTTGTTCAGATGGAGTGGGGGGGGGGGAGATGGAGAGAGAGAAACATCGATGTGAGACAGACACATCTACTGGTTGCCCCCCACACGACCCCAACCAGGGCCAGGGATGAACCGCAACCACGGTACATGCTGTCGACTGGAATAGAACCTGCGACTTCTTGGTCTGTGGACCAACACTCTAACCGCTGAGCCAAAGCGGCCGGGGCGGTAGTCTTTGTTCTTATTGATTAAAACTTAAAAAGGAAAACAATCCCTTCCCTGTCATTTGGGTAGTAGGTTGAGGGAGCAGAAGTGATTCAATCAGCGTCCTGACTCTGGAAGTGTTCATTCCCTGCTTTTCGACTTTTCTGGTCACAAATGGTGACAGTGACTGCACCTGGATTGGGAAGGCCATGTGATTAGAGTTTGTGCCGCTTCCAACGATGACCAGAGGCGGCAGGGGTGGGGGTGGGGCCACCCACTCGAAGGGGCGTGGCAGCTGAAGTTGGCCGCGTGAATTTTATCTTTCTCATCACATTTAGTGCAGGATATAACACAATTAACATTCTAAATTCGAAATTACTTCTTTTTTTTCTGACAGGACACTGGAATTTGACAGCTAGGTAGAGAAAAAGAAAACAACCCAGTCGGTGTGGCTCAGTGGTTTAGCGTCGACCCCTGCACCAGGAGGTCACCGGTTCGACTCCTGGTCAGAGCACATGCCTGGGTTGTGGGCATGATCCCCAGTGGGTGGCATGCAGGGGGCAGCGAATCAATGTTCTCTCTCATCCGTGTTTCTATCTCGCTCTCCCTCTCCCTTCCTCTCTCTCTAAAATCAATAAAGAAAAATAATTTTAAAAAAAAGCAAGCGAGCCTGAGCAGACCAGCCACTGCAGGTGGCCGCTGGCTAAAAGGCCACAGAGGAAAGAGCTGAGAGTCAGGCTTCCAGCTCGGGAGTCCCAGCTGCCATGGTGTGTGGCCGTGAGCAGGTTGCAGGGTCACCACCCCCCGCCAGAGGTGCATGGCTGAGCTCCCAAGAGGGGCACAGCCGAGGGGACAGTTACCCGGGTGGACAGGGCTGGGGAGCCTGTGCACGGTCTCCACACTCGAAGGGTCTGTGTATACAGTTGTCAGACCATGACACCCCAGGCCCCGGGACACACGTATTTAACAAGCAGAACTCGGCGGTCATCTATATGACTATTTATCCAAACACAACCGGTACAAAAATGCCGTGAGACTCCACTGTTTGCCCATGTGGTGCCCGCCAGTATTTGCTGGGGTGTTCCGTCTTATTAACTCAAGGATGACTGCGTCCACTCAGGCCCTCGGGGGCCGCATCCGGAGGCATGGTGAGGGCCCCAGGGGAGGGGCAGAGCCCCCGCAAGGTTCCGAGGGGCGAGCTCTACTTCAACATTACAAGGAGCAGTGGGCCATGACTGGATGCCCAGAGGGGCAGTGGGCTCGTGACAGTGAGGACAAGACGGCCATCTCTCTGCTGGGTGAGAGGTCAGATCAGATGACAAGCAAACCTCCTGCCCCAAGTCCAAGACCTTATTCATCAGAACAAACATTTACCAGTGCACCGCACCGAGTGCAAAGCCCTGCACCGCACCGAGGTTCCTGCCCTACCTGGAACACGAGGACGCCCATGTGGGACACCGCCAGGTTGATCTTGGCCCCCTCCCGGTCAGAAGCCTTGTGAAACCTGATGCCATACATTTCCAACTTCCGGGCCACCTCGAGCACCTGGAAATCCGACTCGGCTGGCGTCTGGCCCCTGTGGTAAAAGACAGTAGGGTCACAACACCGAAAACAACCTGGTCCCGAGAGAAGGGACCAGGGCAGCAGAGCACCGCCAACCAGCCAGGAGGCTCGGTGTGCGGCAGGCCCACAGCCACAGTGCCCGCCGTGCACGGAGAGATCGCCCGCCTGGGCGTCTGCCCTGCGTTTCCTGCTCGGCCTCTGAGTCTGTTCCGACACTGACCGGGGCTGTGCACACGGCAGGTGCCGCTGCAGCTCACTGACCCGCTCAGTCCCTCAACTTTGTGGTCATAAAGTTCAATCTAACCTTAGAATATACTCCTTTCTTGTGTGTGGTTAGTCCTCACCTGAGGATATTTTCTCATTAAAATTTTTTTTAGATAGAGTGGGAGGGAGAGAGGAAGAGAGGGAGAGAGGGAGTAACACTGATGTGAGAGAGACACATGAATTGGTTGCCTCCTGCACAACCCTGACCAGGGCTGAGAATTGAACCTGCAACCCAGGTACGTGCCCTTGACCAGGAATCGAACCTGAGACCCTTCAGTCTGCAGGTCTACACTCACTAACTGCTGAGCCACAGTGGCCGGGGCCATACTCTCTTTAATTTTACCCTTGACAGTGTCACCATGTCTCTCATCCTCCCTTGTCGCCCCTTCCACCTCAGGCCTTCCCCGCGCTACTGTCTGCATCCATGGGTTATGTATATAGAAGATACTCTTACAAGAAGGAAATTATGAAGCGGAATATGAATATTGCCACCAAACCACCAGCTCTGTGCACACACAGGTCTCCACGCGCCACAGGCTGCTTCCCGAGCCCTCCGTGGGTACTCACACGCCCAGGGGGAGCACGGCTCGCGCTGCGCCCACTGCCTCCAGGAGGCGCCATGCTCAGACGGAGGGTCAGCAGCACCCACATTCCAGGCCTGAACCCCGCATTCGGATTGTCTGTTAACAGCTTTCCCCTCCTTCTCACTCCCAAATTCCGAGCTTTTGCCCCTGCAGGAGTAACACAGGGTGTGGCCAGTACCTCCTGTGAGCTCCGCTCCGCCTGACAGACACCCCAGCCTCATTCTGCATGAATCACCAGCAGAAAGGGGCACCGTGTGTAACCTCACCCCTGTCCCGAGAAGCCCAGCCTGGGAGACAGGCTCCCTGTGGACACTGCTGTGGCTCTGGGACTGGTGGTGGGTGGGGCTGGCAGACTTCTGAGGTGCCTTCCTGCACGGCGGGTGTTAAGGGTAATTCCGGCGACTCAGAGAAAGCTTGCATCTCCTTCGGGAAAGCTAGGTCACCCTGGACAGAATGCTTGGAAACGCAGATGTCCAAGGCCGTTCTGATGACGTCTCAGAAGCAAAGACGGGAGGAAGGCGACCCTTTCACAGAGAGCAAACATAGGAGAAGCGCCTGGGGACTGTGGAGGGCGGGGCTCCTGAGCCTGGACCTGGATCTGGCTGCAGAGATTTCAGAGCCTGTATGGAAGGTGCGGACTGGTCACCCCGACCAGCACAATCAAACACGAGACGGCAGAAATGACTGAAAGATCGAATTCTTAAGCAAAAAGGAAGCAAAATTTAAAGATTTGGAAAATTTTCAGCCTTTGCATATTGCAGACAACGAATACCCAGGGTGTGCCCAAGCGACCATCTGGGAGGACATTAGCGGGACTCAGCCATCGCCTTGGAAGTCAGGACCAGGACCATGGGGGGGCTGAAGAAGCTGCCCCATCACGGCCAGCGGGCAGGGACTGGATGGGGTGCGGCTGCCTCCTGCTAGGTTTCAAAGGACACCAGCTGGGGGAGCCCTGCTGGGGTGGCTTGAGAGCAGAGTAAGAGCCGAAGAGGATGACTCGCGAGACCTGAAGCTCAATGTCATCTACCTTGTTAGGTCTGGACTTGCTCAGGACCCATCACTGTTTTCTTCCTGCCCCGGCCTGCCCATGTGCGTGCGTGCGTTTTCATCCCCACCAAAGGATATTTTCCCATTGATTTTTAGATAGAGTGGGAGGGAGGGAGAGAGATACACTGATTAGTTGCTTCCTGCACAACCCTAACCAGGGCCGGGGATGGAACCTGCAGCTGAGGTAGGTGCTCTTGACCGGGAATTGAACCTGAAACTCTCTGGTCTGAGAGCGGGTGCTCTAACCACTGAACCCCACCACCAGGGCCCACCACAGTATTTGGAGGTCAGTCCTCGTCTGGTGTCACAGGCTCAGAGGGAGGGCTGGGCCTCAGGAGGATGGTCCCTGACTGATTCAGAAGCGCCTTTCAGACCGGAGGTTGTCAGGGCAAAGTGAATACAGTGTACATGTCAGGACTTAAATGTGGAGGGAAGGGGAGGTTGTGGACAGAATGACATTGTTCTCCAAAGTCACATGCTGAAGCCTCACCCCAGTATGATGTATCTGGAGGGGGCTTTGGGAAGGTAACGGGGTGGTGCCCTTGTGAATGGGGTTAGTGCCCTTATAACAGACCCTCACAGACCTCCCACTTCTGCTGGGAGGACACTGGGAGGAGACGCTGTGACCCAGGAAGGGCCCCTCCAGACCCGCACCTGCCGGGCCCTTGGTCTTGGACCTCCTGCCTCCAGAGCTACTGAGAGGAGATGTCTGTGGTTCACAGACCCCGTGTGCGGGGCTGGTCCCAGCAGCTCTCTCACCTTCTTCCGCAACCTCAAAGAGCCAAAGAAATACAGTGAAAGTCAAGAAAAGCCTTCTCCAGTGTCCTGCTCGTGATCACAAGGGGTGCCCAGTGGGCCAAGAAGAGAAGTATAAACTACATAAGGGTTTCATCAGGATTTTTTTATCCTCACCTGAGAACATTTTTGCATCTATTTTCAGATACAGCAGGAGGAAGAGAGGGAGGGAGAGAGAGAGAAACATCGGTGTGAGAGGGACACATTAAGTGGCTGCCACCCACATGACCCCAACTGAAGCTGGGGACAAACTACAACCGAGGTACGTGCCCTTAGCGGGAACCGAACCCAGACCTCTCTGGTTGGCGGGCCAATGCTCCATCAGGATTTAATGAAGGTACAACACTGTCTTTAAGAAACCTACATGGCCCTGGCTGGTTTGGCTCAGTGGTTAGAGCGCTGGCCTGTGGTCCAGAGAGACCCGGGTTTGGTTCCCACTAAGGGCACGTACCTCGGTTGCAGTTTGTCCCCGGCCCTGGTTGGTCACTTGGGTGGCAGCCACTCAATGTGTCCCTTTCATGTCGATATTTCTCTCTCTCCCTCCCATTCTATCTGAAGAAAAAATAGAAAAATGTCCTTGGGTGAGGATAAAAAAAAAAAAGAAACCTACATGGGCCCAGCCAGTGTTGCTCAGTGGTCAGAGTGTCGACCTACGGACTGAAGGGTCTCGGGTTCGATTCCTGGTCAAGGGCCCATACCTCAGTTGCAGGTTTGTTTATTTTTTAAAATTTTTTTGGTACATGCCCTTAGCAGGAACCAAACCCGGGACTCTCTGGTCCGCAGGCTGACACTCCAACCACTGAGCCAAACCGGCCAGGGCTCGGTTGCAGGTTTGAACCCTGGGCCCCAGTTAGGTTGTGTAGGAGCAACCAATCTATGTGTCTCTCTCACACTGATATTTCTCTCTCTCTCTCTCTCTCTCTCTCTCCCTCCCCCCCTCCCTCCCTCTCTTCCACTCTCTCTAAAAACCAATGGAAAATATCCTCAGGTGAGGATTAACCAAAGAGAGAACCCTACACAGCCTCTGTGGGTGTCCCTCCTGTATGCACCCCCAAGGCAAGTCTCCAGGAGTCTGCCCTGGGCTCTCTTCCACCTGCTCCTACCCTTCCTGAGGTGACCTCATCTGCTGCAGTGAGACCTGCCCACACCCGAGGCCCACAGAGCCCCCGGCACTGCTGTCTGGTGGCACGTCCGGGTTCGGCCCTGGCTGTGTGTCTTGGCAGGAAGGGACCCTGTCCCCAGGGACAAATCCTGAACATACAACCATCTCCTTTGGACTGGGTGTGACCCTGGAGCCTCACCTTCCTGCCACCAGCAAAGGCAGCACCCGAGAGACACTGAGCCCGGAGCGCCCAGGGAACAGCCCGTGCTGTAAGGGGAGCCCCGGCGCTGAGCCCGACACCGAGGTGTCAAAGCATCGTGCCCGAGACAGCGCTCTGCCCTCGCTGTTTCACCACGGGAAAGGGGCCACATACACGTCATGCCCAGCGTGTAAGGACCACGGGCCAGTTGGCGAAGAGCCCGGTGCCCTCGCACTGGCAGCCTCCAGCCAGGGGCTGGCACTCCCACGGTGCCACTGCGGCCGAGGCTGCAGCCTCCCGGGCATCTCCACCTCCCACCCTCACCGCTGCTCCCGCTGAGTGGGCCCTGCCTGCCATTCCCGCGCACGGCCTGTTTACGGCAATGTGTATGCGCACCCGGCCCTTCCGATGCAGGCACAGGAGTCCTACTGGGGGTCCCTGAGGCGTGCGCCTGGTCTGTGTGGTTCAAGCTGGCTGCACCTGCTCGGAGTGTCTGACCGAATGGACAAGCAGCTCACAAGCTCTTCACAAGGTCAAGGCTGAGTCAACCACAGTCTGCCCCTTGGCCAGGTCACGGTCACCTTCACCTGGTCAGCCACTGCCCGTGCCCACATCGCTCTTCAGTCTGTCCTGCTCCAGTCTGTCCCCCGGCGCCCCTCACTTCAGTCCAGAACACACACCAGGGGCTAGCGTGGAGACTGGCACCTCAGCAGCGCGCCGAGCTCACAGCAGGGCCCCTCTGTCACCAGTGAACAAGAGATTAACACCCAGAGTGCCTGTCCTCACTCCTCCCGGCCGACCTCTGTTCAGCGGTTCCCAGTGGCCTGTGCTGCGGGGACGACGCCTCCCTGACCCACGACAGTCATGGCCCAGGGACCGCGGGCCAGCGGGGTTCCGGCACTCACGTGTGTGTGCGATGGAATTCCAGTATCTTCTCCAGACAGCGCTCCTGGTGGGGCAGGTACCGGTTCACCTTGAGATGCTCGCGGTCCAGGGTCTCCTCGTAGTCTCCTATTTCCGCTGAGATGAGGCAGACAGGCAGAAATTTTAATTTTCAAATAAAGAAAAGTACAAACTCCTATTATTTTACTAGAGATGTAGGATAATTTTTTTCTACTTTTAATTTGCGCACCTGGGAATACAATGCTCAAACTAAAAGTAGAAAAAGCAGTCCTAAATCTGCAGTAAGGTGAGGAGAACTTTTGAGTTCTGGAGAACAGAGATGCAGGTGAGTGACCCCGAGAGCAGACGCTGATGTGCCGGTGAGTTTCACGCTTGACCCAAAAGTTGTCGAGACTCCTGCAACCAGGGGGAGGCGTTTCATTTGTTTCAAGATAATGTATTTAAATCATTTTTTTCCTTCAGAGCCTCTCAAATTCTTTAGGAACAATGTTTCTTTCTAACTTATGTATTTTCAGGCTCTAACTGTTTTAAAAGGAGTCAAGTCCAATGATATTAAGCAACACACTTCTTTCTGTCCCGAGACAACTTCAAACTCGCAGGGAAGCTGCGTGGAACTGCCCTCCGGAAGGGATTTCCCACGACCAGACGTTCTCCCACAGCCGCAGCAGCACCGCATCCGGACGGCCCTGACCCGCCTGGACGCCGAGCCCAGCCCACTCATGCTCTTCCTGCCACCCGACTACGTCTTTCACAGCCAAGGGCCCAGCTCGGAATCATGGCTGCGTGTGGCGGTCAAGTCTCCTCAGTGACCTCCAGTCTGGGCGGCACGGTTCCGAGGTGAACACCACACTTGGACAGATCATTACGACACCTCTGAGCTGTGCCCAGAGCCTCACTCGCTCGAGTGGCCAAACGAGTCTGCACTGAAAAGCCTCTGTCACCTGAGGAGACTGCAGGCCAAATTAAAGACAAAGAAGTCACGCTGAAAACCTGTTCATGAGAATCAACAAGTCCTATTGCGCAGAAGAAAACCACCATTTATAAAATTCGCTATTTGGGTCTTGGCTGGTGTGGCTCCGTGGTCAGAAGGGTTGTGGACTCGATTCCAGCAAGGGCATGCGCCTGGGTTGCAGGTTCGCTCTCTGGCCCCAGTTGGGGCGTGCGCAGGAGGCAACCGATAGATGTTTCTCTTTCTCCTTTCCCTTCTCTCTAAAATCAACAAAAACATATCCTCAGGTGAGAATTAAAACAAAACAAAAAAATCACTATTTGAAGTAGGTGTGTCAGGGGAGAATCAAGTCAATTACAAACTGACCCACACACTTATCAATCCCCAAAGCTTCTGAAACGTCCCACAGCATGCTTCCTGTGGTCAGCTTTCAGAAACACAAGCTCTTCGCCAGGAAGATGGGCTCAGCCATGTCCAGAAGCAGGTGGGGCCCCTGCCCCCGCTCCACCAGCTGGGTGGAGGCTAGCACAGCCTCCCTGTGCCCAGGGCCTTCTCACTATCTCCCCGTTTTGCTGTTGCTAATCCTCACCTCAGGATGTTTTTCCATTGATTTTTTAGAGAGAGAGAGTGTGTGTGTGTATGTGTGTGTGTGGTAGGGGGGGTGTGTGGAGACAAAGATAGAGAGACAGACATTGATTGGTTGCCTCCTGCACCTGCCCTGGCTGGGAATTGAACCCACAACCCTCTGGTGAGTGGGCCCCGCTCCAACCACCGCGCCACACTGGCCAGGCCCCGTTTGGTTTGAAGTAACCACAGTCCTTCACACTGCTGAACCCCTCTTGCTGTGAGACACCGGGATGGGCTTTCTTTCTCCGCAGAGTTCAGTGCCGACCAACCCACCACCCAGGAGCTGCGACGTCCACCCCAAGGAGGCCTCTTTCTGGGGTGCCGGGTCGGGGTTACTGTCTGGCTTCCAGACCGAAGAGGTTTTGGTGAAGCGCGTGAGGGCACGAGGGACACCCTGAAAGCATGCAGGTGGGGCCGACGTGGGCCGAGGGCCGGTCCCCGCTGGGGCTTCTGCCTCCAGGAGTTCCACTTTGCAGAGGCTGGTGTTCAGTCTGTTACCAAGTGTGCACACTGGAAGGCCCGCCCATTCTTTCACACTCACGAGCCCCGCCGCCCCCACGCTGGTGGACACTCACACTGCAGCAGGTGGGACGTGAGGAGGGCCGCCGTGGTGTCCGTGCAGGTCAGGCGCTCCTCCAGCAGGTCTCGCTTAAGCTGCAGGGCGAACAGGTACCTGCGAGGGAATTCACAGGTCAGGCGAGCAGCTGCCAGGCTCTGACACCCTCCCAGGCTCCATTGCGGGGCAGCGCAGCACAGCACCCGCCAGGGGGGGCCACAGACCCTCTTACTTTTGTCTCACACACAGCTGCACCCACCACCTTGGGACACAGTGGAAATGTCCAAGGAAGACACAGCTTAGAACGTGAACCTTGTGAACAGACTGATCTTTCTTGGCTAGAATCTGAGGAACAGGGACTCCCGATACCACTGGGGAGAATAACTAGAGAAGCGATCTGAGAATGTTCATGTTTCATTCCTTCCATCCACAATAACCACTGAGCACAGACTGTGCTCCAGGCACTGTTCCTGGACCTGGAAATACACGGGAACAAGACAAGCCGTCTTCCCCAGTGGAATTCACGCTCTAGGGTGAGCTCTGTAAATGTACTGCTTCTCTTAAAATTTGAATGTGTGCACCCCCCGGGGGGAGGAGGGGTGGGAGAGGTGCAGGAGGGTACAGGGGTGCATGAAGATTTGGCTTGGGGTGGTGAACACACAATACAGTGAGCAGAGACGTGTTGTCGAGTCGTGTTCCTGAAACTTGTATAATTTTGTCAACCAGTGTCACCCCAGTAGATTCAATAAAAAGGAAATAAAATGTATGTATCCCTTAGCTCAGTAATTCCAACACAAGTATTTCCAGAGTTCACAAGATATGTGGATGTTTATTTGCAGCATTTAAGAGAGAAAACTTGGAAGTAACCTGACGCGCACTATAAGTGCAAGAGGTCAGATAAATTAGGGTGCAGCCGTGTACGCCACAGGGCAAGATGTCTATGCTATGGACGTGGGGGCACGATATCCCCCAAGCCCCATATGCACAGCTTGCCGCGGCCCCGGGTCAGCTGTGCACCACTGGGGATTTGCCTGGACACGCCGGGGTCAGGGCTTCTGGCCAGAGTGCGGTGCAGGGAGTGGGGGGCTACTTTTACTTGGCGTAGCTTTATTTCACTGTTTCTCTTTTCTTTTCCCAAGCAAGTACTTTTTAATAAATAAAACAAGGACCTTCTGCATAAACACGGCTTGAGCCCAGGATGCTGAATTAGGTAGCACTTCCTGGTATTCATCATTTTCCAGGTATAAATATATTTAGAAGCTATTCCCTTAAAAGGGATTTTTGGGTAAGTGTCAGGAATTTAATATGCCAGAGATAAGCTCTGTGTTCACCATACAAACTCCACCGTCCTTAAGGCCACTCCCTCACCTACACAACGAGAGGTGAACGGCTAACCCGGCAGCCTGGTTTCATGAGGGTGAGCGTCCTGCGAGAACTGTGCAGAGAAAGGGTGTGAAGACGACGAGGACACGTGTGCTTTGTTGGAAGGCTAAAGGGTTGTCTGTTCCTCCCACCCATCAAGGTTCTCCTTCAGCTCATACCTGACCTCAGGCTGTGAGTTGGTTTTTAGGTTGTTGCTTTATTCGAATTACAAAATTGGTAAGTAAAACAGTAGGGAAAAAAACCTAAGGACTTCATGCACATGTATACATTTATGCTCATTTAGAGAACATCAGTTCAGCTGTACCCTAGTACCCCATTTTTTATTCTCAAATGTGTACCATGAACCTGTCTTCCAAGTCCCATCCACATTTGTGTTCGTGCAAGAGTTAATTGTCAAAACGTTCTCTCCACTGCTGCACACAGATTACTACGTTTGTGTATCCGGGGCTCGTTCATTCGTTCACTGTGCCCTGAGCACCAGTGAGCCGGCGCGTGGGAGATCCGGTACGTCCAAGGCTCTGCTGACAGGGGCCACAGCCCAGGGCGGGTACTCACCGTGTGTATTCTTCCTGCAGCTGGCCGGGATCAGGTGGGAAGAACTTCACTGCTAGGCGGAGCACTGCGTTCTTTGGCCCTATACAAGAAAGCACGTAGCTGTCACCAGTAAGGCCAGTCTCTGCTGTGCTTGCTGTCTTTCCGGGCACTGCGACATGGCTGAGCAGTACTTTCAAAGGGACTGCTAAAGCAAGTCTTTCCAAATACGATGGTAAGAAATTTCCTGTGCATGAAATCTGAGTCCTAAGTTCCAGTCACATATATCAAAGGAAATTAAAAACATTTGTGTTAAACAAAGATTACTCAAGGAAACTCTAAAAATATGCAGGAGATTGCACATTAAAAATTTAAATATTTTTATGTCAAAAAGTTAAGGTGTTTACACAATTAAGTAGTAATAATAAAAAAATTACTTTTGAATTCCTTATATACTTAACTGAAAGAAAAATGTCTTCATAACTTGCTATACTGAATTGGAACAATCTGATTACTGTAAAGAAAAAGCATAAACTAATAGCTCATCTAAGTGGCTCAGCTTTTTCAAAAATTGTAACATAATCATGTAATTTGCCCCAAAAAGGCAAGAACAACGGTTCTGCTAAAATGCTATGGCAACCGAAACAGCCTCAACTCATCAGCAGCTGCTCCCCACATCCTCCCCCCCTCAGTTCAGGACTAAGGAAGTTCCAGGTGAATATACCCTACACAATGACCTAAGAACTGAGAAGCATCCCTACATGCCTTACATTTTCAAAACTGAACAAAGAGATTAACAAAAATAATTATGTTTATGACAATTATGTTTATAACTACAAAACAGCACGAACTATTTTATTAAAAGTGCCACTTAAAGGAAGACCCTCAATGGCGTTCGTGACTAGAGGGGACCTGCACACTTATTTTGCATGTTGCTTCCAAGCGTGGGAGGCGAGTCACCTAGAACCAGAGAGCACTGCCCGTCCAGCTGCAGGAACCGGCAGGGACCTCCAGGGCTGGCTGCTGCTGGCGCCCCCTCATGGCTGTCCAGGGTGGTGGCAGAGAACACCTAATCAGGCCTCAGATTTGAACAGCCAAGGACAAAAGCATCTTGAGTGAACAGAACTTTAAGAAGTTAAAAAAAGGACTTACTTCGTACTTGCCTACTGATGGGTTTCATAGGTTCAAGCCAAATCTAAAGAGGATTTAAGAAAAGAGACCAAATCTGTTACATGATTTCTGTTTACTAAGTATGCTACAGACCACAAAAACACTGAGATGAAGAGAGACAGGGAAGGCGGGACGTTTTGGCCCTCGTGCTCTTACACATGGGGCACAACCTGCCCAGAGACAGGGGAGATGCAATGCCCACTCTAGGGGTGCGGGACCTCAGTAAGTCTCAGAGTGCTGGCACCCACATGCACAGCAAGGCACCCCCAGTTCTTCGGGGGCTTCTGCTGAGACCAGAGAGACACTGAGCACATGCAGCACCGTGACCAGCTGGCGAGGGCTAGTGCCCAGACGCAGAGGCCAAGCTCCGCAGTGCTTCCAAACTCGGGCTGGTTCTGGTCTCTGTAAACAGTGTCATCTGTGAACTCCACCTCTACTAGACAGAACGGAGCACAGCGGGTTTGGTAAAACTGTTTGCTCAAAACCCACTTTCAAAATGACGATCGTGCAGGATGTATCAGTGGGTGCTTTGAAAACTGATGAAGAGACCTGGCCGGTCTGGCTCAGCGGTTAGAGCGTCAGCGTGCAGACCAGAGAGTCCTGGGTACGGTTCCTGCTAAGGGCACGTACCTGGGTAGCAGTGTGTCCCCGGACCCCGGTTGGGGTTGTGTGGTTGGCGGCCACTCGATGTGTCTCTCTCACATCGATTTGTCTCTCTTTCTCTTCCTCCCTCTCTCCCTCCCGCTCTACCTAAGATAAATGCAAAAATGTCCTCAGGTGAGGATAAAAAAAAAAAAAGAAAATGACCAAGAGCCCGGCCGGTGTGGCTCAGTGGACTGAGAAGTCCTGGTTGGATTCCAGGTCAGGGCACATGCCCAGGTTTCAGGCTCGATCCCCAGTAGGGGGCATGCAGGAGGCAGCCAATCGATGTTTCATCAACATTTCTACCTCTCTCTCTAAAAAAAAAAAAATCAATAGAAATATATTTAAAAAAATCAATAAAAACATAAAAAAAAAAAAAAAAAAGAAAACCGATGACGAAAGGCTCTCCTTGCACGTGTGGGGAGAGCAAACCCACCAGGATGTGGAGCAGGCTTCCACAACGGGCACACCCGTCTCCCACAGCTATAAATAACACATCTTAATAGTACCGTAAAAATTTTTTTTTTCCTTATTGATGTTAGAGAGACAAAGGAAGGGAGAGGGAGAGAGAGAGCGACACCTTGATGAGAGAGAACATCGACTGGCTGCCTCCTGCATGTTCCCCACTGGGGATGAGGCCCACAACCTGGGCATGTGTCCTGACAGGGAATTGACCACTGACTTCTTGGTGCAGGGTCGACGCTCAACCACTGAACCACACCAGCCGGGCAATAGCACAGTTTTGATAATAATAACGTCCCAGTTTAGAAATACCTTACTTACATCACCAGCCGTCCTCAAAGGCTCGTGGGGAGGCGGCTGTTGAGAGGGCTCTACAACACACCAGAGCTCTTTCCAAAGGAACGGGAAGCACCTACCCAGTAGGACAGAGCGTGTTGAAACTCCAGCCCGAAGTAGTCACATTCCAGCAGGTTCAAGCGCCTCCACACCTGGGTCAGCAGAACCTGGCCATCACGTCTGGGCTGTGGTGAGACGGTGAGAAAGAGCACGAGGAGGGTTAAATGCCTTCAAACAACAAAGATCTACGAACACGGTGGCAAGAGGCCACCTCCCGCGTGCAAACCATTCCAGTTAATTTCTTGTTCCACAGTCCTTCCGGGAAGGCTTACAAACTGTCGCACAGAAAAATAAAAGGTGTCTGGGGCTCGTTGTGCTCAGAAACTGATACCAAATAAAGTGAAAAAATTCCTTCAATTTTACTTTCTCGGTGTTTTAGTCAGAATTCTTGTAACTTAGGGCTACAGACACCATTTGTAGTCACAGTAAACATTTTATCAAGTTCTGATATTTACTAAGAAGGTGGGTCCCCGAGCCATGCTTGCACAGGATCCCCGTGACTAGGTCAGTACTCAGCGGTATTCGTGCTCATGAGAGCACGACCTTTCTCAAACGGGCAGGGCAGCCAGCTCTCAGTGCCGGCGGACTAAAGACGAGAGCAAAACCAAGGGGATATTTCTGTTGTCTGCAGTAAGTAAGACCTTCCTAAGCATAGCACAAAGACTGATAAATTTGATTAAATAAAAATGAAAAACTTCTGAATAGAAAGACACTAAATAAAACTGTACAATCGTACCGGAAAAAAAGGACATCTCCCACTGCTCCAATGGATCGGGGAGAAACAAAGGGTGCTCCAGCCCCCCTGACGAAGGGGTAACACTGACAGACAGCATGTCCACACCGGCTGGGGCGACAGCTCACATGACCTTCTGGGATCGTCTGAAACATCTCAGAATTTGAAGTGTACAAATACCTTTGCCTAAGCAAGTCCAGTCCCGAACTCTCTCCTACAGAGAATTCTCACGCAGCCACACAGAGGAAAATGTGCGAGGACAAGCTCAGCAGAGAATTGATAAAATAACTAATGTTGCAGCCAAATGGAAAAGTATGCAACCCTTAAAAAGAAGACAGAACCCTGCGTGTACTACCATGGATGAGGTCCAAGACCACAGTTCAATCAAGAAAAAAAGTTTCGCCCTGGCCGGTTTCGCTCAGTGGTTAGAGTGCCGGCTCATGGGCCGAAGGGTTTCGCGTTTGATTCCCAGTCAAGGGCACGTACTTGGGTTGCAGGTTCGATCCCTGGCCCCGGTTGGGGTCGTGCAGGAGGCAACCAATCAATGTGTGTCTTTCACATGGATGTTTCTCTCTCCCCCCCTCTTTCTCCCTTCCAGTCTATTAAAAATCAGGTATCCTCAGGTGAGGGTTAACAACAACAAAGAAGTTTCCACATCTGTACAGCGTGTATGATAAGCTCCCATTTCAGAGAGCACACGTCCTGTTTACATGCAACAGAAACAGAGCTGAACAGGGCATCTTCACAGGGACCACGGCTGAAGGACTGGACTGATGTAGGGATGGTCAAGGGCTTTCACTTTTACCTTATTTATAAACTTCTGTAATGTCTACATTTTCTTCAATAGGCATGTCATGTTTGCCATTAAAAATAGTATGTGCAAGTGTGTGTGTGTGTGTGTGTGTGTGTGTGTAGCAAATCTCCATTGTTCCAAAGGATGTTCTATTCTTTTAAGTTTAACCACCAGATTTTCTAACTGTGTACCCAAGAAGTGTTCATGCTCCTAAAGTGAGAATTCTCATTCGAAGGAAGAACCGCATCTGCCGTCACAAAGCAGCACAGAGAGACAGCACAGTGAGCACCTCATCAGAATGAGGGGGCCGCCAGGTGACCTCAGGTGGAAAACAACATGAGACCAGAGGGCAGGCCAAGGGTCTCTGCCGCCGCCTCACACGTGTCAGTGGGAGCCCAGGGCTGCGCTGGGTGACGGGGAAGGGGCACGCCTCGAGGACAATGCGCCTGCGCCTGGCCCCTGCTAACCCTGACAACCCCTGGGCTGTAAGACCACCCGGGAAGTCCCCCGCAGGCCGTGTGTCCTCGCCACACCTTCACCCTGACTCCAGGCAACCACGCGGCCCCTTCTCTATTCGCCCTGCAGACACAGCTGACCATGTCGCTGCAGGACTGGGGGGACTCCACAGGATCGACCAGGGATGCCCCAAGTGCCTCTGCAGAGTGCACAGCCCTACACTACGGGGCATCACCCACCGGGGAGACCTGCACACCCAGGCTGTTCCCTCACAGGAAAATTCCCTCTCCTTTTCCTTCCGCCGGACTCCAACATATCCTCTGAGAACCTGGTAAGTCACCTCATCTGTAAGGTCCCCTTAATTTCAGTCACTTCCACCTAACAACCACATCACCTGGTGCACATCTGGCATTGTTTACACCTGTGTGTGGGTGTGTTCCTCCAACTAGATGGCGACCCTGAGGGCAGAGACTATGCTCACCCATCCTGAACCCCCAGGCCCAGCACATGGGAGGAGCATCGATCTGACCCCCTAAGCGGCTACCATGGCTCCACTGCCCTCAGCCCTTCTCTCTTCTTCAGCTGCCTGGGCACCCGTGTGCTGGTCAGGTCGACAGCCCACCCAAGCCCTCCACTCCTGGTCAGTACAGCCGGGCTTGCTCCAGGACCCGACGCACATCACACGTGCAGACACACAGGCCACTCACGACGCACCTCATCCCAAACTCCAAACACCCTGGACAGGGATCAGGAATCTGGGTGCAAAAGTGCATTTAGTCATATGCGCATTTGTTTAAAAAATGTTTTCCTTTATTGATTTTAGAGAGAAAGGATGAGAGGGGGAGAGAGAGATAGAAACACCGATGAGAGAGAACATCCACTGCCCGCCTCCTGCATGCCCCCCCCCCCCCCCCGGGGATCAGGCCCACAACCTGGGCATGTGCCCTGACCGGGAATCAAACCGGTGACCTCTTGGTGCAGGAGTTGACGCTCAACCACTGAGCCACACCGGCTGGGCAACACACGCATTTATATTTTCACACACACAGATGTACATCTGTGTAATGCAAATGAATGGACACACACAAGTATGGACACATGTAGACACACATACAGACATCCCTACATGCATACACAAGAATGAACATACATACAGACATATGTATGTAGGTTTGTTTAACCTCCTGACTTGAAGTAAATTTTACTAAACTAATGTTTTTGTGAGTTGATTATCCTATGTTCAGCGAAGAAAGGGATTTTTGGGTTCTCTGTGTCATCTGAACTACGTATTCTCCTACATAACCATGAGAATCAGGTGTTTTCACAAACCACGTAGAAATGGATAGTTCCCATGCTCTCTACATCAACCCCAAAGCATGGTGGTGAGAATCCCTTCCACATCTTTTGTATGGAAAAGAATCCCCAAACTCCAAACAAATAAACACACCCCCTACAGAAGAATGACCATTTATGGACATCAATAAAAATATCCCCAGTGAAATATCAGCAAACATAATCTAGCAATAACTAAGAGAGTAATAAGCTATAACCAAGTATAATTATTCAAAAGATAGAGGATAGATCAATACAATATTAGAAGATTACTGCTACATATTAATAGACCTGGAGGAAAAAAACTCAATCCTATGATGAGCCCCAAAAAATGCAATCTGAGATGCTGAGAAGGCACCTGATAAAATTCAATTTCCACTCTTGGTATACACTCTTAATAACATGGGAAAGAGGCGTGACTGTTACCATCAGACAAGCGGGTCCCTCCAGACGGCATGCCACCACCACAGTCAACGCCGGCACCCACAGGGAACAGAGACGAGGAGAAAACCAGGAGAGAGAGAAGCAGCACCATCTTTCTCAGAGACGAACTTAGTCCTGAAAGGCCAAGGACATCAACCGGAAAACGACGACGAGAAAGACAGAATCCCATTTGGCGGCAGGAGAAATGATCACCCAGGTTATCACCAGCCTTCACATATACAACGAACGACTATTTTCAGGACAGGAAGGAACAACCACACTGGTAACAGCAACAATAACTAAGTTTCTTGGAATAAATTTAACAATAAAAGAAAGCTTTATGGAGATCAGTCACAAACCACTGTTGAGAGAGGCGTGGCAGGCAGGTTCCTGGGACTTCCCACCAAGACAACACGTCTACTGAATGAAGACCCACTGTCCTAGTAAGAGCATCAACAGGACTCTGAGGAGCCGGATAGGCTGATTCTACAGTTGACATGTATTTTTTAAATGCAAAAATGGCGGAGAAAATTCTGAAAAAAGAGAAATAGGGGAGGACTAGCCTTATCAGATATTCAAATTGTTGAAAACCACAATTAAAACATTTGGTATGGGAGCAAGTCTGCAAAGACAAACCAATGGAAGAGAACAGGAGGTGAAGCAATACATTCAATTATATAAGATACTGGAGTATCTGATGAAAGTGATGTTTCACATCAATCAGTGGGAGAGCACAGATTTTTCAATGAACACTAGTGGGTACCCATCTGGAGAAAATAAGGCTGCAGCCTGACCACCCATCATTGCAAGATGAGTGAAACACCTGTGCATCAAAGTGCGGCACCGAGATAAGGTGGTTCTGTGCTCCAGGGGAGGCAATTCTCAGTCCAGCCAGGAATGAGAAGCACAGCAGGAGGCTCAAGCAACGGGAACACAAAAACCAGTGTCGGCCAGGAAGGGGCACTGTGGCATCCAAGACCTTTTCAGAGACGACACAAAACTTACGGCTCCTGCCACAGACAAAGCGCTAATTTCCTTAAAACAAAACAAACTGCAAACATCGGTAACTTGATCTGAGCGGAAAAGAAAAATGAGCAAGAGAAGCCGCCGCTAAGAGGAGCCGGGATGACGTTTGGATGCGCACACTGAGGCTCCCTGCATGCAAGACAGAATGAAGATGGAGCTGAGATCCACGCTGTGCTCCAGGCTGCAGGGCTGGCTCAGCACACACTGGGGTGGGGACCCGCTCGCTTGCGCATGGGCTGGCAGGAGCAAACCCCACATGCCAGGCTGGAACTACCTACTCCATGTCCATGTCCACACCCTTCTCTCAGAAACCCTGCTCTGACACATATCTCACAGGCGCAAAACCATGCACAGAAATAAGA